CGAGCCGTGGCGCGTCCACCAGTTGAGATGTAGCTGCCCGTATAACAACTTATCCACTTGCTCTGTTACTTCCTTATTTAGAATGGGGCGGGGTACTGGACCAACCCAGTCTGGTAGCAACATTTTACACTTTGATCGTGAAAAGCGCATACCGAACATGGCTACGCTAGCACTCAAACGAACCCGAAAAGTTTGCAGCTCATCTGAATCTTCTCTTAGCAGTACAATGTTGTTTGCATACTCCAGATCAGACGATCTGCCATCTGGGAGTAAATCGATGTCACTATCCTCGCACGAGGGCAAGACTGTTTCCATAATCAAATCTATAACAAAGTTAAATAGAAATGGAGAGAGAGAGGGCAACCTTGACGGACTCCACTTTCCGTGCTGAACTCGGGCGAAAAGCTCGGACTCGACTTCGGCTTTTAGTATAAAGGGATCGTAATATTGAAATAAACATCTCGGGCACATCCTTCAGGGAAAAGCAGCACCAGAGTTTAGAGTGGTCGGCTAAGTCGAAAGTCGCTTTCAGAAAAGGAAGACAGAGATGGTGGGTCTACGAGAAGAATGTCGGTGCTCCAGAGTTTGGCGAAGAGTGAAGATGTGGTCGATATAACCTCAACCAGGTCTAAACCCAGCCAGCTTCTCACGCGTGCACTCTTCATGTGCGGCAGACAGTCGACGGAGTATGATACCAGAGAGAAGTTTAAAAGCAATCTTGATTAAACTAATTCCTTTGTGGTCAGCAGATTTGGAGACGAGGCATGAAGAAATGCACGGGGTGATTAGGTAGAGTTGGTGTCTAGTCTTCCGGGTTGGGATCCAAAAGACTGCGTAATCGCATGGTTGGAGACACTGAAGGTCATGGCAGCAAATCGACAGCAATGGCGAGCATGCTGTCACTTCTTATCAGGCCAGAATGCTTGAAGTCGTATGTATGCTTAGCTGGACTGTGTACTCTGTGTGTTGACCATGGAGGTTTGCTTTCTTTTCCCGTCCCTAAAAATAGGTCCAATCCCTGTCCTTCTTACGCGTTATCACTTACCTTGTATGCAAATGAGTTTGGCAACGATCAGTGAAGTTCGCTTCACTGTAGTACGCTGTACAATGATGATGATGATGATGATCTATGGTTTTCACAAGAGGATCTGTCACCTTTCTTGTAAATCGGTAAGATGACCGATTCACACCATTCAGATGGAACCTGCTCCCTTTCCCATACAGAGCCCTGGAGTTTCGTCAACTCCAAGACTAACCCTGAGCCACCATCCCGAAACGTCGATGGGAACAGCCCATCAGGACCGGAGACCTTATGCTTTTTGAGATAACCTATCTCCCGGGAAACCTCCATTTCAGATGGAGTACTGGTATCCACTGGGAGTATTTGCCCAGTCGAGGTGAAGGGTGATGGTTCAGATGTCGAAGGGGGGCAGTTGTACTGAGCCTCGAACTGTTCATCGCATCGATCAAACGGCGTCGGTGACGGTTAGCCAGTGTGCCAACGGATTCTTTAATTATCTCACTTTCGCCTATTTTCCTGGTCCGGTATTCCAAATTGGACGGAAAACATTGCGATTGCTACCGATAACCGCAGCTTTCTCTATATCTCTACACTTTCTTACCCTCGACTTCTCGCGGTTATTCCCCAGACTCTTGATGAGCTGGCGTTCGAGGGATTTGCGCGCTGTTTAATATCGGGAATCAGCAGATCGATGTTGTCTCTGGAGAAGTGTCCCGTCTCCTACTCGGCGATCTTGATGTCCTCATTTTCGCTCTGCATCACTGGCACCAACGAACGAGGAGTTTTAACATCCTAACTTCATCGACTTTGCTACAGTTTGCAACCGCATGAGGACGAGGAAACTGGCGACTGTTGTCACGCACCATAGATTCAGTGGTTATTTATTTTCTTCACATTGACCCAATGCATACAAAATGCGTTAAAGGAAAACTTTTCTGGTATTGTCAATTCAAGTAGTGTTTTCCTTTTTGGCCTGCTGGTTCGGTAGCATTGTGCCTGGAAGGTGGAACCGTTTTTACACCTGCGTTCACCTGCATTGAGCTTACTATGCCGGTTATTTCATTTGAGAAGGTATTTGTTGCTCCGGCTGAATACTCCCTGCTGGTTGGCTTGCATCGTTACAAGTTATACTAATGTCCGTTAGCTTCGTCTTACCGTATCTAATTCCGTGGGAAAAAAAATCGGAGCAGTGTTCAGGCTCAAATGTAGCTTGCGACAATGTACACGTGCAAATTCGGAGCACGTCCGAGCCATGTGCCTACTGGAATACTGATTGTTTAACGCATCTTTAATCCTGACGGAATCAGGTGATCCTAACTGTCTCGGTAAGGAACTTATGGCTTCAACCTCACAAGGAACGTAATTTAGTGTTCGAAGGTCTTATTCAAAGCAGCACGCAAAGTACTCTAGTTGGATCGCAGTATTTGTTGAATTGCTTTTATTCGTCCTAAAAGCTACCTTTTGAACTGTTATATTGAGGGAACATTTACTTGTGTAGCTGATCTTGAATAGTTGGATATCACTTTATTAAATTACTGGTCGCAGTTGAGCAACAGTCTGAGTGCGTGGTGGGTTTTCGTTTGGTAAACCTTTTTCCGCAATGAAAAGTTGCATGTTATTGGAAAACATTGTCGTGTACGCGAATCTTGACAAGACCATCACCTTCACCATGCTTTCTTGTGGATAACACTTAATTTTGTAATGCATACAAGCTGAGGAAAATTCTTCTGCCTTGGCCTGGGCAACCTGACAGTATTCCGCCCACATGCAAGTCATGGAACGCTTTTCTTTTTGCATAAGTATTATTGTACCATGATTTGTTTGGCACAAAGTCTGGCGTGAGACGTGTGATATATATATATATGTTTACACCGGCAGTAAAGGAAAATTTCATATCACTGTTGAAGGAGAACAGTGTGAGATTGTAACCTCTTTTGTGCCATCGCTTAAGAATTGCTGTGAAGTGTTATCACATAATCGAATGTGTGGATGATTTTGTTTGGTACGTACTCGAATTTTGTTGCCACATCTCCGTAGTGGACATAAGTTATATGCAAATGGAACGAAGAACAAATAGTCCGATAAAGCCATTCATCGAGTTCCAGTTTATTCAGTCTACTAAAACAATTTTTTCTTTTTTTGCAGATGAAAGTCTCGTTAGCCCGCAAATACAAAAGATATTCGAACGCGTCCGGCAGGCGGCTGATTTCATGCCAGCAAAGCAGATGCGCAAGGTGCTTACTGAAGAACTGGGACCGGACTGGAGTGATCGTTTAGCCGATTTTGAGGAGAAACCATTTGCGGCAGCAAGCATAGGCCAGGTTCATCGGGCAAAACTGCATGATGGCAGGTTTGTTCAAATACTTGTATCTTTCTCAGCGCTTTCGTATCTTGTGGTATTTATTGATTGTATGTCGGCCTGAAGCGCCGACTTCGATACTAATCAGCTGACGCACGTCCAGCTCTCATTCCATCCAACCGTGTTTGCTATTCATCAGCTCCGGCTGTTCTACGCATGGAGTCTTTATTAATTGGGTACCCCAAAGTTGAAATCAGCCATAGCCGAAAAATAGATATTTTTTGGCTTTCTGCTTGTATACATTTGTTTTTTTTAGTTTGTCTCCTGCCTGTAANNNNTGCCTGTAAGCAGGTTAGTTTTTTGTCATTGATTGCGTCACTGATCGCTTCGGGTGCCAGTCATCTCACAGAGACAACTGGGGCGTTGAAGAAAATCTTTCGATTCTTCAGTTTGTTTGTATTTCTGCTCACTGAAAATTGAGTTGTAAAATGCGGCTCAATCTAAAGCCAAAGTAAAACTGCTTTCATAGTAGTTTCTCCGCTGTTCGGGATCCGCTGACAAGTTGGTGGACAATCTCTGACTGTTCCTCAGAGTAGGTTATCTTTTTATCTAATGCGCCGTGTGACATGGAATTCCCATAACTAAAATGACTTTATAGACGTAAAGGCTGGATATAAATGGAGTGGTTTAGATTATTGATCTGAGTTACCTATTTTACTTCGCCCCCAGTCGGCTTCTTTAAGTTTGGACATGCAAGCAGATGGATTTTGAATGTCCAAATCATCCTGAGTGTCCAAAGGCCTCAGTATGTTCCGGGATGTGTCTAGGGTTACGGCTGGTTACCCTTCCCTTGCACCTCGCGAAATCCTCCCATCCGACCAAGCGTCTCGAATAGCCTCTTATAAGGGAGCCCTATTCATTGCCTTCTCAGGGCGAAGG